ATATACACTCACGTCGCGATTCCAAGGTTCTGCCAGCATCATAGTCTTGAAAACGAAAATTGAACGCATCATCATCTGGACCAAGTAACTTGGATGTTATCTTAATGGGAAGTTCTGTGGAACTTTGGGTTTAGGGTAATTGGGTCTTAAGGTAGGGGTCTGTACTACAGTCCTACAGAACCCGCACTTCCAGAGCAGCCTAGGCCACCGAAACTACAGCACATAACACAGTCAGAGGTGAGGCAAACCTCACTTGTCGTCGTCATTCGCGTCGTCGTCACGCAAGCCTGAGGCATAAACCCACGCACATCTACACAGCAGGCATGCTCAGCCACTCATGCATATACACATGGTTCGACATGCATCTTGCAGCCAAGCAATCGATGCACATAGGATTCGAGGTTGGAGTCTTGATCCGCTCACGGCCGTTCAACTCAACCACCATGCACTTGCACAACAGCGTGATTTAGACATTATTGCATTTCAGAGCTCAGCGGTTTACGGTTTAGGGTTAGGGGTTGAGGGCTTTAGAGGTTTAGTTTAGGGTTTAGGGTTTCGGGTTGAGGGTTAGGACTTTAGGGTTTTTTGGGGTTTAGGGTTTATCAGACACCGGACGAGCAAGCTTTCCTGGAGTGCATGCGCCTTGCAGGAGGACGTCGTCGCCAAATGAATTTGATCCATGTTGCCATTTGGCAACTAGGAGGAGACAGGTCAAACAAGTGAACAGCATTCAACAGCAACGCAGTAATCAGGGGTCGTCTTGGAAAAAAGGGAAGGACGGAAAGAAGAGAAAAGGAAGGAGTGATGAATGGGCTTTCCGTGCAACGGTTGCTGTGGCACGGCTGCTCAGATATAAAAGTTAGATGGATACGGTTTTGTGGCAATGCAATGCCTTTTAGCACAAGTTTCTCGATCTTGTTAGACAGTTGGTGTTGCTCTGCTGTCCCATTGCTGCAAGTAGCAAAAGTATCACGTTTCAACCGCTGTCTTGATTGTTCCTCCATAATGGATGTTTAGTTCCTTGAAAGGGGGGTTTGTTTCTTTTACGGAGGGAGCGGGGTTTGTTGTGTTTGTTGAAAGTTGTGTTCTTGTTGGCGCAACTTTTGTTGTTTTCGGGTTGTTTTTTCTGTTAGCCGCCCTTTGTTTGTTCTGATCAACCACCTCATTTGCTGTCGCCTGCTATGAATTACCCCTTGCTTTAAAGCCACTCGCGTTTACAAACACGGGCCAGGTTCCAAAACGTGTTTGCATACAGAGGAAACAGGAATCCTGAAGCCACCTGCAACATGAGACATGAACTGGGCAGCCTTAATCTTTGTCTTCATATCAATATCGCCAAGTCCTTATTGCATCTACATTCCCGTGGAGTGTAGCATGCGCTTTCGAATCCTGAGTTTGTCCTCAGCTTAGGCAGTAGCCGACAACAATACAGCAATGTGGCAGGTCTTAGCATGAGAATAGCCGTGGTAAGCATGAAAAGTGTTGAGAAACCCGCTATTCGGAGAATACAAACGGAGTTAATAACAAACTTCAGGTTGCCGAGTAGCAGCTCGGCAACAACTAAGCACATAGCCATCATTGGCGCAATACTGCAGCAGCGGCACATCAGGATACTAACGTACTATTGTCTGGCAGCACGTAGGACCGTCGAGTATCTGCAGCGGGGACAAAGCAGGGACACATCCGGGGTGTGGATTGGGTTGCTGAATTCATCGATCAACGTATTCTACTTCTTGATCCATCTGTTTCTCTGTTTATCTGTCTGTCTGTCTGTTTATCTATCTCTCCACAAAGTCTATAATCTAAAGTAGCCTAATCAATAGTCAAATCTAGTCTAGTCTAGTCTGCTCTGGTCTGGTCTAGTCTAGTCTAGTCTGGTCTAGTCTAGTCTAGTGAGTCTAGTGTAATCTCTAACCTGACCTGACCTGACATAGCCCAACCAACCTAACCTAACCTAACTTTACACAACCTAGCCTAGCTTAACCTAACCTAACCTGAGCTTTCTATTCATTTGTGCTAGTATGTCGAGCTACTAAGGACATGCACCACATGCAGAGACCTAGTCCGATGTCAACACAGACCTTCTTCTATAAGTATGCGTGTTTATGTGTTAGCCAAGTACACAGCGTTCTATCTGTTTGCTTGCACTCATGCACTATCTACCAAGGACATACACATACACCTCATATGCAGAGACGCCGTCTGTATATGTCAAGTACAGCTAGCATAGACTGCGATTCTATCTGCCTGTGTTTTTTTCCATGTGAACCAAGTACACACCATATGTGTCTGTAGACGCATATGTATGTGAGCGCTCTTCTTGGTGCTCATGACTCAGACAGCCAGCCTAACCCAGCACTGCAGGCCGCCGGGAATGCCGCCGCTGCCAGGCGAGTTTACCCTAGCCCAATTCAGCACCCCAGCCCAAGAATCCAAAACTCTTTAAGCGGTAGCCATGTTGGCTCAGTTGTGGCGACGTTGGCTGAGATGATGGGGAATAGTAACTTAGTATCTTTGGTGCAGGGCTATGTGAGAGTTTCATTGGGCAATGATTGCACAGGTTGAACATAGGTACCGCTCCTGCTTTACCAGATACGTCTCACCCTCGAAATACGTACCCAAGTTACTGGCTCGGGGGACAACCGAGTCTGCACAGTATCATTAAAGCATTACTAGCAGACCAGCACAGCAGGTCGCTGCACACTGCACGACGCGGCGGGTGCAGAGTGTGCAATGAGGTTTTGAGAAAGTTTCCATCAATGGAAAAAAAAGTGCGCAACAATCCCTACACCCAGAGAAAAGTAAAGCCGCAATCAGGCAGCGGAGCTAGTGTCCACCCAGGATGTGAAGGAGTCGGTTCCGCTGTACGCTACGCCATAGCTGACTATTCCACTTGATAGCTCAATGGCCAACCAACATGACAGTCTCAAGAGTCACGTCTGAAACTTCACTCGTGAACACCCCTACTTCACGGCCTCTACGGTGAAATCTCGCAGCTGCATGGGTGTGCAGCATTGCGATGGCCGGTTCATTTGTGCTGGCAATACTCCCGTGTGTCCACGAGGGCGTGGGGGCGGATTAGCTCGGATGTACGATAGGGCTGCGGGGAGAACCAAGCTTTCAAACCAAAAACCTCTTTCAACCTCAAGGGGGCTAAACGTTGAACTCCCAAACTCCGAAACCCCAATCGCCAACGCCCCGTTTTTCAGTGCTTTTCTCTGCGGACGGCCCCGCGAAAAAGGCATGTCGGCAGCTCCTGCTCCGCCTGGGATGTCGGAAGCCCAGGGCTGTTGGGATGTGGTTCCGTTTGGGCTGTAGGTCGGGTTTCTGCAGGAGTATCTAAGCGGTACCCTGGGAGGCTTTGTGCAGAATGCGGTGGTGTAAAATATGGGACCCGGGGAGGCCTCCTCTGCCTGGCGTGGCTGGGCCATCCGATCCGCCAGGAACTCGGTGGGACTTGGTATGATGTGGTTGATGCAGCTAAGTGCAGGAATTCAGGAACTCAAGATTCGAGCGCATTAAGGGTTTAGGGTTGTGAGATTTTTAGGGTTTTGTAGATTTGCGGGTGTAGGCATGAGTCTTCTTCGGAACTTGCTGAGGCTCGGGGCGACCCTGGGAGGGACCCTGGGCGGAACCCTCGGCAGTGTGGAAATCAACTTTGTCGTCAGCTCGGTGCTTGTAGACTTGCGGGAAAAGGTGCCGTGGAGAACCACTCGTCTTCTTCTGGTGTTCAGTGCGCTGAGGAGAAAACGTTTTTCACTTGCACTTCCAGCTCTGCTTTGCAAGGCCGGTCGCATGATGGCATGCAAACGGAACCTTCAGCCACTTGATCCATCATGGACAGGAACGAATGCCGGCCGCATGCTGGAATCTTTGTCAAGCATCTCTGGTTGCCTGCATAGGGGATGTCAGCTGGAAATATCTCTGAAGGTCTCTCTCGGCACAAGGCTGTGCCTTGATCTTTGGAAGACTGCGCAGAAGGTGCCGTGCTGAAATGTTTGAAGTGTCCTGCTTCGAAGCGGTACGACTATGGATTCAAGCTGCGGCAGCATTGAAGGCTGGAGGCAGCTGGTTTGGCGTTGTCTGATGCCTTGGCGCTGCCCTGCGCACGGTGCACGAGAAGTGTGCCGGCTTTTGCCAGAAAGGGCCTTCCTCACCTAAGGTTCCTCCTTCCCGGAGAGCGGGAGCTGACAGCGGAGCAGTGGCTGGATGTGGCGTGGGGGAGCAAGAAACACACTTCGAAGCTTTTGACATTGCAGTGAACCCAAAAGCGGTGGCGCCGTCTCCAGGTCGACTTTGCCCCTGGGCACCTCGCGAGCTGAGATGCAACAGCTCTTCCTGAAGGCCGGAACAGCGGCCACTCTGTCTCTGCAAGTCCAAACTTATCGAAACCATGGCTAGCGGCTAGTGTCTGAGACCTGGCGAGGTGGATGCAGACAGCTCCGGCAAGGTTGCGCTGACCACGCTGGAGCAAGGCGCGTGCTCGGGAGTGCCTGCGCCTTCGCGATCGCTTCCCTTCCGATTTCTGTGATCTAAGAGCACAGGGCACGCTTCATTGTTGTGATGCTCCAGTGCTTGCCCCCTCTCCCTCCAAGAGCATGGCCTCCCTGCGGACCTGGATGCCGTGTTGCCTAACTCTCCTTGGGTCCTCGGCCCATACCAGGGCCGGGAGGGGAGTGTCCTGCGACTGGACGTCTATCCCCAGCGTGACCTTGGCCGTTCGAAGCGCGGTCAACGGAGCTCCTACGTGCTGGTTCTTGCAAGACGAGGGCATCTCGGTGGAGAGGTCTTGGAAAACTAGAGGAATCGGGGCCTCAGGAGGAGTGCGAGGAGTGCGGCGACGTAAGCGACTTCACGAGTGCTGGAGCCAAACTTTGAGATTCTGGCCTTTGAAGTCCGAGAAAGGGTCATCAACCAGACTGCGAGACTGGGCTCCGATGGCATTGGTGCAGTTTGGGAATGTGAGCACGGCTATAGGGAGCCGTGCTCTTCATGGATACGTAGCATGGACGCTCCACAGAGCCTTGCTGCAAGCGGGCAGTTGGCGGCGGACTTTCCGCCTTCCCTGCCCGCAGAACCCGGGAGACATGGCACGTGCGACCGTGGTAGAACGAGGCACCGCTGGTGGTTATGGTGTGATACGACAAATACGTCTGACCCAAGCGTGTGTGGGCTGGGTACATGTCGCCGTGAACATTGCAGCCATTCCGCATGCCCGGAAGCACAGGATGTCAAGCCGGGACGAGCTCTGATCCCTGAAACCTCCGAAGGTTTGATTCTCATCCGGACTCTGAAGGCTCGAGTTCGCGCCGCAGGTGGAAGGAGGAGAGGCTGCGATGGACAGAGTCTCACAGTAGCAATGTCACGGAGAGGTCCCCACGAAGAGAGAGGTGCTTTTGGCCTCCGGAGAGCCACCCAAGGGCCCCAAGGCCTCACTTTGTAGACGGCGAGGACGCCCCCGGCCCCCGAGCTCCGTGGAACTTGAACGGAATTGCTGCGGGTGTAAAAGCAGATGGAAGCTGTCATGCACTTCGCTTGTGCTCGGCCCGGCAGGCATCGCGCGGGCAAACTCCGAGGACTGTTGCAAGCCTCCTACCTGGATCTCAGCAAGATACCTGGAGCTGAGGATTTCCAATGAGGGGTCTGCGCTGATGCTGTGTGGGGCTTGTCCTTTCTTGTAGCAAGGCTGCTATCACCCAGAGGGGCCTGTGCAACCGCATCAGTCAGAACCTCAGAAAGAGCCTCTCTCGTCTTTCCACATTCTCAGCAGGCCAACCCTGCTTGCTCCCAGGACCCCCATGGGTCCCAAACCACGATCCCGAATCCGCCAACCTTGAACCCTCTAGTGACTCTAGTGGTATTCTGGCGAAGCAGGAGATGAAGAACCATTGAGAAAAAGCAAGCCCAACTCTAAAGCACCTCATACATACGTATACCATATAGGGAAACAAGAAGATGAACAGCCCGATGAGCTACTCCTGGTACCAAATTGAAGAAATAGCTCAATAGATACATGCATCAAAGGATAAAAAGACAAATGCATAGATTGACAAGTAGGTATCTATCTATCTATCTGTCTGTCTGTCTGTCTGTCTGTCTGTGTCTGTGTGTATCTGTGCGTGTCTGTGTGTGTGTGTGTCTGTCTGTCTATCCATCCATTTATCTATCCATTTATCTATCCATCTGTCTATCTATTTCTCGCTCTCTGCTATCTATCTATTTATCTGTCTATCTATTTATGTATCTATCTATTTACCTACTTTTCTACCTGCCTGCCTGCCTACCTACCTGCCTGCCTGCCTACCTACCTACCTACCTATCTATCCACCAATCTATCTATCTGGCTATCTATCTACCTACCTACCTACCTACCTACCTACCTATCTATCTCCCTAGTTATCTATCTGTCTATCTATCTGGCTACCTATCTATCTATCTATCTACCTATCAACCAATCAATCAATCTATCTATCCATCTATCTATCTACCTAATGATACATATAAATATAAATATATATATATATACATACATACATACACATACACACACACACACACGCGTGTATATATATATATATGTGGCAGG